TCATAGGCATATATTTATTTGTGAAGTTTCTTTCCAGATCTTTGGGCCATTTTTTAAGATGGGTTGTTTCTTATTATGGAGTTTTCATTTTTGGGGGGGGGGGGTACACTCTAAATCCTTGATTACATACATATTTTTAGTTTTAGCTTTCAGTGTAGACCCTAATCCAATATGACTATGTACTTATAAGACTAGGCAGAATGAGAATCCAATTATCTCCTGATAATCTAGACGTAAGAGATTGATAAAACAGAGCCAGCCAGTGAAGTGGTACACACCTGTAATCCTAGTAACTCAGGAGGCTGAGTCAGGAGGACCATAAATTCAAGGCCAGCTCCAGCCACCTAGTGAGATCCTGTCTTAAAATAAAAAATAAGTAGGCTAGGGATGTGGCTCAGTTGGTAGAGTGCCTGCCTATCATGCATGAGGCCCAGGGTTTAATCCCTAACACCACCAAACAAAAACAAAAAATTTAAGTAGTCAAAAACTAAGAAAAAGGGGCTGAGGCTGTGGCTCAGAGATGGAGCGCTCACCTCGCACGTGCAAGACCCTAGGTTCGATCCTCAGCACCACATAGGAATGAATAAGTGAAATAAAGGTATTGTTTAAAAAAAAAAAAAAAAAAGGACTGGGGATGTAGCTCAGTAGTAAAGCACTCCTGGGTTCAATCTCTCATTTCAAAAAAATAAAATTAAGGGGCTGAAGATATAGCTAGTTGGTAAAGAGCTTGCCTCGCATGCACAAGGCCCTAGGTTCAATCCCCAGCACCACAAAATTAAAATTAAACTAAAACAAAGCTAGCACTGTCACTGAAAATCCCTTGGAAAACACAATTACTCATTATAGTTAATAGTTATTTTTGTTAACATGTATGATTTTCTGTTAACAATGTTGATTCTGTTACTTTTATATAGTCTAAATAATTTTTAAAGTTCATTTTTTGCCAGGTACAGTGACGCTCGACTCTAATCCCAGTGGCTTGGAATGCTGAGACAGGGGAATTGCAAGTTCAAAACCAGCCTCAGCATTTTAGCAAGGCCTTAAGCAACTCAGTTAAGATTCTCTCTCTAAATAAAAAAACAAAAAGGGATGAGGATGTGGTTAAGTACCCCTGGGTTCAATCCCTAATACCATAAATAAATAAATAAATAAATGAAGTTCATTTTTTACTTCTAATGTGGTAAATACAGCCCCCATAAACAAAAAAGTCCTCTGGGTCCTCAATTTTAAGTATGTAAAGGAGCCCTGAGATCCAATCTCTGAGAATGACTATTCTATATCAAGGGTGCTTCTGACCACTACATTCAATTCAAGTGCCTCTAGGAACTTTGCTATGTCTGAGGAAGAGAGAAAACAAAATTTATGAAGGAAACATTGCTAACAAAGGTCCTAGGTACAGAATAGGTATTCAATATTTAGTTAATGAAAAAACAAAAAAGACATGGAATCTCCAAATATTTTATGTCAAAAGTGTTACAATACACCTGCACATTAAAAGAATAATAACTTTATTGCCTATATATTATACCTTATTAATCTGGTCCCATCTTCACATAATATGCCATTAGACAGGAGCAGGGAAAGAGACAGAAAAGTCAAAAGAATATTATAATGAAGTTATAAGAAATAAGGGTAAAGAAAATGCTTCAGTGCCTTCCAAGCCTTCAAGAACTTATGCCTGCTATAGGCTGAAATGTGCATGCCCCTGCTCACCCACCAAAAAAAAACTCTACACTGCAGCCCTAACCAACAGTACCTCAGAATGTGACTGAATTTGGAGGGGTGATTAAGTTAAAATGTTTTTTGTTTTTGTTTTAAATGTAGGCCCTAATCCAACATGATTTCCTTATAAGACTAGTAAAAATACATAGAGGAAAGACAGTGCAAAGACACAGGGAGAGGCAAACACTCAAAGAGAAAGGCTTGATCTCAAACTTCCAGCCTCCAGAACAAAGAGAAAACAAATTTCTCTCATTTAAGCACCCAGCCTATGGTACTTTGTCATGGCAGTCCTTAAAAACTAAAGCAATGTTCAAAACTGAACATTTCCCACTCCTGGTTGATGAAATTACTCCAGACACGAATCATTTTTAACTACTCCTCTCCACACCATCTAATCAATTATATTCTATTAATCCTATCCTAGTTTGTTTCTTCATTCACATTCTTTTCATTTCCACTGCCTTAAACTCCTATAATACCTTGCCTAGCTTACAACAACCATCTAAAATACAATGAATTAATGTTCTCCCTTATTGTCTTATTTCCTATTCCCTTCTTAAGAACTCACACTGGTCGGAGGATGTGGCTCAGTGGTAGAGCATTCACCTAGCATGTGCAAGGTCCTGGGTTCGATCCTCAGCACCACATAAAAATAAATAAAGCTACTGTGTCCAGCTACAACTAAAAAAATAAATATTTTTTTAAAAAAGAACTCTTGCCATTTTCCCTATAGTATACTAAATGTAAGTGAATAAATGATCTTAATTTCTTTAGAGAAGAGAAATAAAACCCACTAAAATAAGCCCAGCCTGGAAGAAAGGGGAAGTCGGTATCTGGATAACAATTTTCAGTTAGCCTAGTATCAATCACTTAGGAGCTCTGGGTTGGTTTTGAGCAGAGGTAAGAAATAAATTGTCTTGCCCATCTGTCACTGGTCATTTGTTTGTTATCAATTGTTAAACCCTAACATCCTAAGCAGTACTCTAGTTCAACAATGAAGAAGGCAACTTTTGGGATGTTTGCCCAGCTCAAGAAGGGACATAGTCATGATTTTTATTATTATGTTACCTCTCCCACTGCCCCCCAGCTTCTTGGATTAAGATGGGCCAATCAGATTATAGCTCCCAGAAATGTGGGTTTAACAATTGATAACAAACAAGTAGCCACTGAGAAAGCAGCAAGACAATTTCTCACCTCTGCTGAAAACCATTCCATAGCTCCCTATTTCACTGACGTAAAAGTCAAAGAAAGTCCTATGTGTTCACGCCCACTCCAAACACCTCTCTGGTTCTGTGATCTCTCTGACCTGGTATTATACTTATTCTCTTCAAGTCATTCAATCTATTGCAGCTACATTGCTCTCCTGGTGATTTCTTGAACATTCTATAGGCATGGCTATTTCTTCTGCCTAGAAAGCTGTACCCACAAAGCCTCTGCAAGACTAATTCATCCCATTCTACCTTTTCTCAGTGAAGACTTAGTGAACTGTCATATTTAAAACTGCGACTCCTGTCCTCATATCCTAGCACTCCTTATTCCCTTTTAATTTGCTGTTTTCAACAGCATTTATATATAACCTCTGGTTAAATCATACAATTTGATGTGGATTTACTTCCTGTCTTCCCTTCCTCCCCTACTAAGCTAATTGGAATATAGTAAGCTCTATGAAAGGGTTTTCCTCTATTTTCTTCTCCCCTAACCCAAGCACATTGAATAATCCCTAGCTCTGAACAGGTGTTCAATAAATATATCAAATACATAAATATTGCTTCGTCACAAGCACACCAAGGCAGTAAAAGCTGATCTGTGGTTCTTTAAGAAGAATGAAGTAGACTAGCTACTGAATCTGACATCTGACTATCTTTTTAACTCATTTCTTCCAAATTTAAATTAATTCAAGCTTTTATCATAGTGGATAAAGAACATGACCAACTGCAATACACTTCAATTTAATATCTTTTAAATACTTTCCAAAGAGCATAAAGTACAATTGCCTTGGTATCCCACATAAAATTACTGATAAGGTTTTATGTAATGTTCTGATAGTATAAACAGTAATTCAGCAAAATGAAAAAAAACAGCTTTATGTATCATTGGGCTGAAATGTGAGCATTCTACTAAGGCAAGATGTTTATTATCTTTTTGAGGGCTTCCTATGACAACACTTGTTTGTAACATCTATTCCAACTGCAATGTTTTGCCTTTAAAAAAAGAAAAGTGCCCCCTTGGACAAAAGATAGATTGTTTTTTGAAACTGGAAAATCTCAGTTGCACTGCAGGATAAGACTCTAACCCATAAAATGAAACTTCATATCTAAAGACTTCTCCAACTCTGAAGTTTACGTATTTGATGATAGCAGTTTACATAACACATCTGCCCACATACAAACTACATTCAAATAACAAGTCATCTAACCCCCTTTATTATAAGAGTTACCTCTATGTACATGGCAGGTATTTAAATAAACATTCTTAATCTCTTTGTTTAGAATATTAAAACATTTTTAAAATGAAAAGTAAGACACATGATTAGTGTTTTCAAGAACGGAAGACAAAAGCAGATTTTACAATATTTAATTCTTGGGCTGGGGATGTGGCTCAAGCGGTAGCGCGCTCGCCTAGCATGCGTGCGGCCCGGGTTCGATCCTCAGCAGCACCACATACCAACAAAGATGTTGTGTCCGGCAAGAACTAAGAAAAAATAAATAAATGTTAAAATTCTCTCTGTCCCCCTCTGTCTCTCACTCTCTCTTTAAAAAAAAACAATATTTAATTCTTTTGTTTAGCCACGTATTTTCAAATCTCCTACAAGAAAAAATAACAACCTGTTTAAAATCAGATTAAAACCTAAGATCATTTAAGAAATAATTTAGCCAGGTCTTGTGGCACACTCCTGTAATCCCAGCAACTCAAGAGGCTGAGGCAGGAAGACTTCAAGTAAGTTGAAAGCCAGCCTCAGCAACTTAGGGAAGCCCTAAGCAAGATCCTGTTTCAAAATAAAACAGAAAAAGGGATGGGGATGTGGCTCAAATGGTTGGGCACCCCTGGGTTCAATCCCTAATGAAGAAGGAGAAGGAGGAGGAGAAGGAGGAGGAGGAGGAGGAGGAGAAGGAGGAGAAGGAGGAGAAGGAGGAGAAGGAAGAAGGAAGAAGGAAGAAGGAAGGAGAAGGAAGGAGAAGAAAGGAGGAGAAGGAGGAGAAGAAGGAGAGGAGGAGGAGGAGAAGAAGAAGACGACGATGACAAAGAAAAATCTAAACCAGGTATGCTGGGGCACACACCTGTAATCTCAGCTATCAGGGAGATGAGGCAAGTGGAATCCATCGAAGTTTGAGGTCAGCCTTGGCAAGTTAATAAAAACCTGTCTCAAATGAAAAAAAGATTTGGGGAAGTAGGTCAATGGTAAAGAGCTCCTGAGTTCAATGGTTCACTCCCACATTGGTGGGGACCAGGGATGGCAGCAGGTGAGGACCTGGTCGGAATATAACTGACTTAACAAATGGAACAATTGTTTATAAGCTTTTGGCATCTTCATTTTATAATTGTTTACCATGAAATCCACTGCAATTTTCCCTTTCCTCCCAGTGTTAATTCAGATTAAATTAATTGTGAAAATTTCAGAGGACTTCATAAATTTTACAAAAGTATGAAAAGTATTAAAATTAATGACTAATAGTATTATAAAACAACTGCAAAGTTAGGCTTTATCCACTGATATTAACGATTCATCCTATGAAGGGAGTGACAAAAATTAGTTATTTCAACATCAGACACTTGTTATTCATTTATAAATATCTAACTTAAGGATGGAGTCTGGCAGACATGAGTTTGAATCTTGCCTCTGCCATTTACTGTGTGTGTGACCTGGGGCAAGTTTCTAAATCATACTAAACTTCAGTTCTCTCACCTGAAAAGTAGGGATACTGCCTACCTAAAAATGCTGACAGAATTAAATGGGATGGGGAAGGGAGAGAGAATGGAAATAGGAAAGACAGCAGAAATAATCTGACATAACTTTCCTATGTTCATATATGAATACACGACCAGTGTAACTCCACATCATGTACAACCATAAGAATGGGAAGTTATATTCAATGTATGTACGTCAAAATACATTCTACTGTCATGTAATACTACCACACATTGACTCCTCAATAAATATCAGTTTAACAGGGAACAGTGTTCAAGTCAAAAAAAATATTATTTATACCTTATCCTGATTATAATTTTTCAAGAGAAAAACATTAGAAGTACATTGTTTCTTTAATGATATCACAGACACCAAGTTTCTCAATTACTGAATTACCAATGACTACCATCATGACATAAATGTATGCAAGAATTAAGTGCCACAGCCAAAAGAATGGGGGTTTAATTTAATATGCCAGTACACATCAAGTGATAAAGACATGTCTGTCTTCGCTTATTCATTAAAACTTGAGTCTAAAAGTAGTGAAACCTATGTAGAAGGAAATTCACATACAGGGTCGACCTATCAACAAGAACGTGACTCCTAATCTTCAGCAGTTTCACTTCACTATTTTTTCCCAGCGTCTCCAGTGGAGATTAGCTTCACTCATTGCATATAATAAACAAGCTGTGGCATGATGAAAGGGAAGCTGTTTTCAATCAGAATACGTAGATTTAAATTTCTCTTCTTACTACCTGGGTGAACCCTGGACAAGCTATTAAAATAACTAAGCCTGAATTTCCATCTAATATAAAAGATATCAACACCTACCCACTCCACAGGGTTGTCATAAAGATCAAACGCGAATGTGCGTGAGTATGCTTTGTAAACTGTCAAACTGCCTCATGTCTATAGGTGAGGTTGCTATTAAGAAAGACTTTGGAAAAGGTTAAACCATTTCATCAACTCATTACATGGGCAATATCAAACTTTTATCATTCATTATAGGACTCCATCACTCGATGACCCATTTTCGTTTAAAATCGCCAAATCTCAATACATAATACTCAAAGCCGCTATTCCCACAAACATAATACTCAGAGTACAAAACTCTCTGCACTGTACCCGGAGGATCAATAATTGGCCCTGCAGACTCACTAAACTACCGCAGACGAAGCACACTACTGCGGTGGAGGGGCCTGCCACCCGGGGTGAGCGGGGCGTGCGGCGCCCACCCGGGTGGGTGTCACGCCGCGTGCGCTCGGTTCGCCAGGGTGAGCTCTCCAGCACCGCCGGACCCCAACACGTCTTCACGGAACGAGAGCCTCCAGCCACGCTCTCGGGGTGTCGGGGGTTCACAACCTGAGCCCTAAGCTACACCACAACAAAGACAGCGCCGGAGCCCGGCGCGCGGCACGGCCCCCGCGCCCGCGGCGGGTCCGGACCTCACGCTCCCTCGGGCAGGCGGCGGAGGACCCGGTCTCTGAGCAGGGGTCAAGGCGGTCCGCTCGGCCGTCGCCGGGCCAATTTTCCGCGAAGTTTCAAAGTCAACAAAGAAGTTCTGTTGCGAGGGGCCGAGCCCGCAGAGCAGGGGCGCA